TCATGTGATGGGATCTGTGCTCTGGTGGTCTCACGTGACGGGATCTGTGCTCTGGTGGGGTCACGTGATGGGATCTGTGCTCTGGTGAGGTCACGTGACGGGATCTGTGCTCTGGTGGTCTCACGTGACGGGATCTGTGCTCTGGTGTGGTCACATGCAGTGGTCTCATGTGATGGGATCTGTCCTCTGGTGGGGTCACATGATGGGATGTGTTCTCTGGTGGGGTCACGTGATGGGATGTGTCCTCTGGTGGGGTCACGTGATGGGATGTGTTCTCTGCTGCGGTCATGTGGAGGCTGTTGGTGAGATCTGTATGCACACAGGATCTGGGAGGGAGGTAGAAGTTAGACGCTGACGTGCAGATGGGAGGAGATGGAAACGATAGGTTGGACACTTGTTCTAGATGTTTCTCTATGCAGGACAACTCATGTTGAGAAAACATAGGCTAACTCTTTGTTTCAGTCTGAAGAGTAAATTTGGTTTGAATAGTTAGAAAAGCTCACTGTTTTATATGAAAATATAATCAAGAGATAAGCTGTAGGATAGTGATACACCTGAAGGGTTGAGTTGGTCACTGTTACACACGTGAGGTAGAGATCAGGAGGATCAAGGTTAGCAAGACTCCATCTTAGCCAATCCAAATGTGGCACATACTTCTCAGCTAATCAGGGAACGTATGTAGGAGAATCTTAGTTTGAAGCAAACCCTGGGGGTGGGGGAAGTGAGAGAAAAACAGGCACTGGTGGCTCACACCTGTAATACTAGCTACTCAGGAGGCTGAGATTAGAGGATGGCAGTTCAAAGCCAGCCCAGGCAGGAAAGTCTGCGAGATCTCCAAATAACCACGAGGAAACTGGAAGTGGAGCTGTGGTTCAAAGTGACAGAGTATTAGCCTTGAGCAAAAACGGATTCAAGAATAACTCTCAGGCCCTGAGTTTAAGCCCCACAACCAACAACAACCCAAAAAAGGGCTAGGAGTGTGCTCAAGTAGTAGAGCATCTGCCTAGCAAGTGCAAAAGTAGATTTGGGCTAATATGAGCAGGATTTGAATCTGGATGCCTGACACTCAGATTCCCCAGGGAGGCGATCCAACAGCATTTGCTGAAGACTATTGAGTGGTTGTCGCAGTGGTGGTTATGCATGTGTAGGTCTATTTTTGGGTTGTCTTTTCTGTTCCATTGATCTAGAGCTGCCCCTCCTACCCCAGGCTAAAGATTGAACCCCAGGACACACACGCTGGGTACTACTACTACTGAATTCCAGCTCAGATTTCTCTTGGACAGCACCATGATCTGGATTACTACAGCTTTATAAGAAGTCTTCAAATTGTTCGATTCATTCTACCATTCAGCTCTTTTTTTTTGGTCGGTTGTGGGTCCTGAACTCTGGGCCTGGGCGCTGTCCCTCAGCTCTTCAGCTGTAGACTAGCGCTCTACCACTTGAGCCTCAGCCCCACTTCTGGCTTTCTCTGCTTATGTGGTGCTGAGGAATCGAACCCAGGGCCTCATGCATGCAAGGCAAGCACTCTACCACTGAGCCACCTTCCCAGCCCCTCTCACGGACTTTTCTGCCCAGGCTGGCTTTGAACCTTGATCCTCAGATCTCAGCCTTGTGAGTAGCTAGGATTACAGGTGTGAGCCACCGGCGCCCAGCTACCTTTCAGCTCTTTCTAAAAATCACAACTCTTCTAGGTCATTTGGACATCCACCCACAGATTTTAGAATAGTGTTATCAATTTCTATAAAAGACCAGCTGGGTCTGTTTTTTGTTTTCACCTGGTGCTGGCCATGGAATGCTGGGCCTTCCTGTATACCAAGCACGTGCTCAGCCACCAAGCTCTTCACAGGGCCCCGGGAATCTAGATTGGAAGTGTATGAACTATTGTGAGACCTTTCCAAGAAAGAATTAGTAGGCTGGGAAGGTGGCTCAGTGGTAGAGTGCTTGCCTCACATGTATGAGGCCCTGGGTTCAATTCCTCAGCACCACAGAAGCAGAAAAAGCTGGAAGTGGTACTATGGCTCAGGTGGTAGAGCGCTAGCCTTGAGCTGAAGAGCTGGGGGACAGCGCCCAGACCCAGAGTTCAGGCCCCGCAATGGAAAAAAAAAAAAAAAGAAGAAGAATTAGTAAAGCTTTCATTTCTTCTCACAGAGGTGTTCACAGAAAGGAAATCGCACCAAAATGTGTAGCGTTAACCAGAGACTGCTCGCTTAATTTACTGGGTGAGGTAGACCAGGAAAGTGGTGGGAGAGCCAGGAACAAGATGGTAGGTAGCAGACAATCCTAGGTCCCAGTGCGGGATTATAGGGCCAATAACAACCAAAACCCGCCTAACGCAGCCATCCTCCATCCACTGCTGCAGTACAAGAGTGTGATCTTAGCTGGGTGCCAGTGGCTCGCTCTTGTAATCTTACTCAGGAGGCTGAGATTTGAGGATCACGGTTCAAAGCCCACCCAGGCAGGAAAGTCTGTGAGACTCTTATCTCCGATTAGCCACTAGAAAACTGGAAGTAGTGTTGTGGCTCAAGTGGTAGAGCACTTTGCTTTGAACTGAAGAGCTGAGGGACAGTGCCCAGCCCCAGAGTTCAAGCCCCATAACCGACCACAGTGCCCAGGCCCAGAGTTCAAGCCCCATAACTGGGCAAAAAAAAAAAAAAGAGTGTGATCTTAATGTTTTATGAACTCTCAGTATAGAGAAGTTGCAAATCGAGATTTTTATGTACTCTTCCAATTTTTTTTTTTTTTTTTTGCCCAGTTATGAGGCTTGCACTCAGGGCCTGGGCGCTGTCCTTGAGCTTCTTTTGTTCAAGGCTAGCGCTGTATTGTTTGGGCAGCAGCACCATTTCTGGCTGTTTCTGTTTATGGTGCTGAGGCTGCATGCATGCTAGGCAAGCGCGCTGCACCAAGCCACCTTCGCAGCCTGCAGTCTCACAATTTTTAAAATTTTTTTGAAATTTAAAATATTGAGTCAGAACTCACAGCTTGCTAGGCTACCAAGTTGAGACCTCTGCTTTAATCACCTCCTGTTCATCATCTGTGAACATAAAGATACTGAAAACAATCTCGTTTCTTTTTTTTTTTTTCCGGTCGTGGGACTTGAACTCTGGGCCTGGGCGCTGTCCTTGTGCTCTTCAGCTCAAGGCGAGCGCTCTACTGCTTGAGCCACAGCACCACTTCCGGTTTTCTATCAGTTTATTTGAGATAAGAGTCTCACAAACTTTCCTGCCCGGGCTGGCTTTGAACTGCAATCCTCAGATCTCAGCCTCCTGAGTAGCTAGGATTACAGGCGTGAGCCACCAGCGCCCGGCTAAACAATCTCGTTTCTGTCTAGTTCAATTATTCCAAATTTCAACAAAGGAAAATATAAAAAAGAAAGTTTTTAGAAGTAGTTGAGACTCTTCACAGAAACAATAGCTTGACAAGTTGTCTACAGCTTTCATTTTACACATGACTTTTTTTCTCTCTTGATCCTTTGTGAAGGAGACGCTGTAATAATTGCGCGCCCGCACTCAAGCTCCGGATACAAAGACAGGGCTTCTGGTTCTCTGAGGCTCTGGAAACAGCCCCTGGGGAGCGAGCACAGTCACGGTGCTGTGGGAGGGCCTCCAGGCCGGTTAGAGCCCTTCGATTCACGTGTCAGCCCTTCTGGGTCAGAGTTGGAGCCTTTGGGAGGTGCTTTGGAGTCAGGAGTTTTAGCAAGTTGTGCCTGAGTAAGCCTGTGCCGGCCTAGTACCTCACTCACAGTTAAGTTTCTATGCATTCAAATAAATAGATGGCTGATTATTTGAAGAAGAGCTTTAGACAGCATGGTTGAGGTGTGTGTGTGTGTGTGTGTGTGTGTGTGTGTGTGTGTGTGTGTGTGTGTGTGTGTGTGTGTGTGTGTGTGTGTGTGCATGCCCACAGCTCCTAGGGTTTGGATTACAGCCTAAGTCACTGGTGCCTGGCTGCCTGAGAATTTTGTCTAGAGAACTTTAAGGATAGAGCATTAAGAACTTCCCTAAGTGGTTTTGTTCAAGTAGAAAGCTGGGAGACCATATTATTGGTTTTGCTTGTTTTACCAACTGGACTTCTGAAATCATAGCCTCCCACTTGCAAAGCAGGTGCTCCACCATTTGAGCCATGCACCCAGCCCTTTCTGCTTTCATTTACTCAGGCTGGATCTTGCCTTTGTGCGCAGGGCTACAGGTCTCTTACCTATGGCCTCCCTGTATCTGAGGTTATCAATGTGCCACCTACCTGGCTCATTGGTTGAAATAGCATCTTGCTAATTTTTGGTACAGATTGACTTCAGCTTTTGGTCCTTTTAGTCTCTGCCCTCCCTTACTCCTAGTAGCTGAGATTACAGGTATGAGCTATTGCTCCTGGCCAGACTTTATTCTTACAGCTGAGCTCATAGGTTGAAGAAACTCAGCATGTCTTCCTTCTCATGTTTTACTCTGAGATCTGGGTTTTGATTAATGTGTTATAGTTGTCTCCCTGTGCAGTATGTTTGAGAAATCTAATAGTGTGTGTAATAGAAGGATAAAGACACCAAAGAATATAGGTACCTCTAACTTGGACTTACCTTTTGGAGATCCTGTCTCATCTGGGTCTCTCTCAGTGGGGAGGGGGATAATGGATGGGATTTCATTACACGCATCCCTGCTGTGTATCTGTTTGACTGGGTTTTGTTCTTTTGGGTTTTTTGTTGGGTGCTTTTTTTGTTGTTGTTTGTTTTTGTTTTTTTTGGTTGTGATGCTTGAACTCAGGGCCTGGGTACTGTTCCTGAGCTTTTTCACTCAAGGTTAGCACTCTACCACTTTGAGCCACAGCACCACTTCTGGTTTTCTGGTAGCTAATTGGAGATGAGAGGCTCACGGACTTTCCTGCCCCGGCTGGCTTCGAACTGCGATCCTCAGCTCTCAGCCTTCTGGGTGGCTAGGATGACAGGCGTGAGCCACCAGTGTCTGGCTCTTTGTTAAAAGTGGCTGCACATCCTCCTGTGCACACAGTCCCTGACTGTCATGACATGGGAGACATTGGAACGTGGGTGAGTTCTTTCCCAAAGCAGAAGTGGTCAAAACCCAGAAAACACCAGCAAGCTGAAGGTTGCGATCATTTCGGTAGAGGAAACATTACAGCCCAAGACCTTCACTCTAAAAATCCCAGCACTGTGCTGCTGTGGTCTGAGTTTCCAACGTTGCTTTCCCTCCAGGTACAATTTCAGAAGCTCCAGCAGCTGCGCCTCACGCAGTACCACGGAGGCTCCCTGCCCAACGTGAACCAGCTGCGGAGCAACGCGTCAGAGTTTCAGGTACCTCCTCCGGGTGGGCGGAGATGGGCAGAGATCACCCTGAAAAGCAAGCAGGGCTGGGAGCAGCTCCCTTGTCCAGCAGTGTCCTCCTCAGTGTCTGCTGTGTCCTGAAGGCCACAGTCAGCTCAACCCAGTTCAGAGGAGATGGACGCCGAGCCTGCCCAGCACCAGACAGTCGGGGTCACCCTCAGCCCTGCCGACGGCACTAAAGAAAACACTGTGGAATTAATTTAATGTCGTTTAAATAACTGGAATAATTACCTCATCCAGTAAATACTAAGCATCATTTCGGCCTGTTATCTATACTTCACATACTGTTTTGTCACTGTGTGTATATTTCACAGTCTGGGCTCAACTGTGTTTCACTGGCTACTGGGGACCACAGCCACCTCACCGGACAGTGCATGCAGACTAAAGCACAAACTGCCTTGGTGCGTTGGGTAGGGTACTTCAATCATTTACCTCAAGAGCTTTCCTCAGAACAATGAAGAATCTTGTTTCACACAATGGGACCTGACACTGCTGCGCACATTCTAGTCTGTGAAGCGTTAGGAGCTGGTCCTCCTAACTAAACAAGTTAAGATTGGGTGTGAAAATGAGATACCTTTCAACCCTGAATACCTCTTCAGGTTAAAAGCATGGTCTTCTTTCTTTGTTGCAGAAAGTGGATCACTTTTTTGATGATATCTGAAATATTTTAGAGCATTTTGAATTTTGGATTTTTATATCCCATTAAGTTTATGTTCTGAAATATGAAAAAGAAATCTGAGACACTTCTGGTTTTAAGCATTATTGATTAGGAATATCTTAGGTTGAATTGCATTTTACTTTCCTTTTTGTTTGTTTGTTGTTGATCCTGGAGGTTTAAGCAGGGCCTCATGTTTGCCAGATATTTTTGGTCTGGAGGAGGAGGTACTGGAATTTGAACTCAGGGCCTTGCGTTTGCTAGGCTGGTGCTTTGCCACTTGAGCCATCCCCCCAGCTCTTTTTGTTTTAGTTATTGTTCACATAGGGTTTCACACACCTGAACCACCTTGCCCATACCTCTTTCCTGGCTCAGAGCACAGGCATATACAATTATATCCAGATTTTGGTTGAGATAAGATCCCAAATTGCCCTCAAACTACAATCCTCCCAATCTCTACCTCCCAAGAACCTAGGATTACACATATGCACTACCATACCTGGCTGAAACAACTATTTTTTGCTTTTGTGACGTTGACCTTGCCACTTGTGTCTTGTTTTTTCTATGCTGAAGATTGGATTCATGAGCCGCACCTTGCTAGGCAGGTGCTCTACTACTTGAGCCTGTTGCATTGGTTATTTTTGAGGTAAGGTTTTTCTTTATGCCCAGGTAGAGGTGTGCTGTGGTCCTCCTCCTGGTGTTTCCACATGTCACTGGGGAAGACAGGTGTGTGCCACCATGTCCAGCTGCTTCCCCTGCAGTTAGGATAATGTATGCACCATCACACCCAGTCATTGGTTGAGATGGAGTGTCAAACTTTTATGCCTAAGTTGGCCTTAGACTATGATCCCAGATCTCTGCCTCCCAAGTAGCTAGGACTACAGGCTTGAGCCACTGCACTCTACTGACCTTGTGGTGTCTGAAGATGTATAGGCCGTGTTTTAGAATATTGCTGTTAGAGTTTTTGTGTTGTTATTTTAAGTTCACCTGGTGCTTGGGATGGAACCCTGGTCTTCACACCCGCTGCAAGCACTCCACTCCAGGTCCGCGCAGCCGGGGTTTCTGTGTGCCTTTGTGATCAGATTCAGATGGATACTCATTGGCAGGAACAGCCCCGTGCTGCTGCTATTCTACCCACTGGCCCTGTGGTTTCCATCTCTCCTGGGTTTTGCCACAAGATGTGTGGGTCAGGCTCTTTCCTCTTTCCCTGTTGTAATGAATACATATTTTCAGAAAGTACCTTATTCTAGTCTTCACTATCAATTTTATATATTAATTTCTCCGTGTATGTGTGTGTGTGTGTGTGTTTATTTTTGTTGGTGGTGGAGCTTGAACTCTGGGCCTGGGCGCTGACATTCAGCTCGTCAGCTCAAGGCTAGCGCTCTAGCACTGAGCCACAGCGCCACTTCTGGTTTTCTGGTGATTAATTGGAGTTAAGAGTCTCACAGACTTTCCTGCCCAGGCTGGCTTTGAACCGCGATTCTCAGATCTTAGCCTCCTGAGTAGCTAGGATTATAGGCATGAGCCACCAGTACCCAGCCTCTCTGTGTGATTTTTTTTTGATCAGTCATGGTGCCTGAACTCTGGGCCTGGGCGCTGTCCCTGAGCTCTTCAGTTCAAGGCTAGCGCTCTACCACTTGAGCCACAGTGCCACATCCAGCTTTTTGTCTTTATACTTTTTGTTTTGTTTTGTTTTGGGGTCAGTCGTGGGGCTTGAACTCTGGGCCTCAGCACTGTCCCTATGCTCTTCAGCTCAAGGCGAGCGCTGTACCACTTGAGCCACACATCCAGCTTTTTCTGTTTATGTGGTGCTGAGGAATGGAACCCAGGGCCTCTTGCATGCAAGGCAAGCGCTCTACCACTGAGCCACAGCTCCACTTCCGGCTTTTTTTTTCTGCTTATGTGGTGCTGAGGAATCAGGCGTGCAAGGCAAGCGCTCTACCACTGGGCCACCTTCCCAGCCCTGTATGATTTTTTTTTTTTTTAGTCTTTTCTTTTTTGGTACTGGGGATCGAACCCAGGACGTTGCACTTGCTAGGCAAGCGCTTTGCCACTGAGCTACATCCCAGCCCCTGTATGATTTTTTTAATTGTATTTTATTGCAAAGATGCTGTGCGAAGGGGTTACAGTTAGGTGAGTGGGGCAATGCGCGCATTGCTTATCGATGAGTATTACCCCTTCCCTTGTTGTCTCACCATCCCTCCCCTCCCCAAGTCATAATTTTTTTATTATGATTAAGCGATTACATAAACTTCACAAATTTCGTAGTCTTTTTTTTTTTTTTTTTTTTTTGCCGGTGGTGGGGCCTGACCTCTGGGCCTGGGCGCTGTCCCTCAGCTCTTCAGCTCAAGGCTAGCGTTCTACCGCTTAGAGCCACAGCGCCACTTCCAGCTTTTTCTGCTTCTGTGGTGCTGAGGAATCGAACCCAAGGCCTCATACATACAAGGTAAACATCTACCACTGAGCCACCTTCCCAGCCCTGGGATGGCTACTTTTGTTTTGATGTTCACATAACCCCTCATTCAGCCAGCAGCGGCACTCTTCTGGACAGAGACATTCCTCACATGCTGGTGTAAAGGGGCATGCTGGAGTGCAAGTTTCTCTACGCAACCTTTTCGAGGTGTAATTTATGTATATGATTTACTTCTTTTACCTCCACAACTCTGTACCATCATCCCCAGCACAGTCAAGACCACGGCAGTTCCATAAGCCAGAGCAGAGCGCCCCGTGTCCTTCCGCCCCGCTGAGCCTCGGGAAGCACCGCCGTGGTTCCGCAGTGGGGACGTGTGGCTCTGCCTTTCCCAGACACCTGTGGTGAGTGGAGAGGATGTGGTCTGAGTTCTTTCATTTAAGTTATCGCCTTTGAGATCCATCTGAGGTGTCGTTTGTTTCCTATGCCTGTTGCCACAAACTTGGCTTCCAGCAACAGACATTCTGGTTCCGGAAGTCTTTCAGAAAACACAGTGTCAGCAGGGCCCGGCTCTCATGTCTAACGAAGAGTCCTTTGTCTCTTCATGCCTGTTAGTTGTTGCGGGTACAGTGAAGGCAGCAGGGAGGAAGTGGCACTGTCTTTTTCTCTGAGAACCAGAGCATCCTCTTTGGTTAGAGGAGGGAAAATCCTCTACTAGTGTGTTTCAGTCTGAGCAACAGCTGTCTTTCAGACCGTATGTCCTGATTCTCAGGCAGTGCGGAGAGAGGAGTCAAGGGCTCTTTTCTGTGTGTGCTCTCTGGCTATAGTTGCAGCTTTTCCTGCCTGATCCTTTCAGTTGTACTTTTTATATCTCTTCTACATTTTAACAAAATTGCATCATTTCATTTACATCCGAGGGTTTACAGGCGTCTACCTCATTTAGGAGACAACCTTGTGCCCAAAGGAGGAAGCCCCTGATTCATAGCAGTAAAGGCTTGCTACAGCCCAGCAGGGTGACTCTCCTGGGGCCGCCACCAGCACACACGGGGTAAGGCACAAAGCTAGCGCTTGCATAACAAGAGAGCCAGGCAACAATAAAGCCTTGTTAAGACAGAGTCTCACTGTGCAGCCCAGGCTGCCTTCAAACTTGAGATCCTCTTGCCTTTGCCTCTTGGGTGCTGTGATTATAGATGTGTATCAATCTGGCAAGATCAAATCTTTGGCTTCTAGTAGATTTCCCTCCCTCCCTTCCTCCCTTCCTTCCTCCCTTCCTCCCTCCCTCCCTCCCTCTCTCCCTCTCTTTCTTTCTCTCTCTCTCTTTCTTTCTCTCTCTCTCTCTCTTTCTTTCTTTCTTCCTTTCTTTCTTTTTCTTTCGTCGGTCGTGGGGCTTGAACTCTGGGCCTGGGCGCTGTCCCTGCGCTCTTCAGCTCAAGGCTAGTGCTCTACCATTTGAGCCACAGAACCACTTCCGGTTTTCTAGTGGTTAATTGGAGATAAGAGTCTCATGGACTTCCTGCCTGGGCTGGCTTTGAACTGATCCTCAGATCTCAGCCTCCTGAGTAGCTAGGGTTACAGGTGTGAGCCACCAATGCCTGGCTCTAATCGATTTCTTTATTGCATTTCCTTTCAAATTTTCATGAGGTTCTAAAAACAAAAGATTGAAAAATGAAATATCAGTTAAATTCAAACCAACGGAAAGCATTAGGTGGTAATATCTGCCTCAGAATGCTAGTACCAAGACCAGCTACACTGCCAGCTGACCCTGCCCTGGGCCTAGGCCTCGCTCAATTCTCTACACCCATTGTTGTCTCTCTTTTGTTAGCATATATTAGCTGTACAAAGGGATCTTTTTGTGATACTTCCATGCATGTACTTTGATCAAATTGGTCCCTCTATGACTCTTTC